ACACACACACACACACACACACACACACACACACACACACACACACAATTAAAATATTGTGTGTGCATGATTGAGTCAGCCCACAAAGAGGTGCCCCATTTCTTGTGGTAATTAAAATACAAATATATAATACATATGTTCTACATACATTTATTCTTATTCTTATAAATTTTCCACTGCCTGCCTACTGAACTTTGAACTTTGTTCTTTTAAGCCATTTTGAAACAACTTAAAGATTAAAAAAACAACATTTGACACAAAAACAACAAGATGCAAGTAACCACAAGTTAAACAGCAGATTGCAAAGCGAAAACAACCAAAACTTCACCTTCTAGAAGAACTGATTTCTTTTAAAGACGAAACGTCCTGTGATCTTCCAGACTACGGCGTCCTCAATAGGTCAAAATCCAAAACAAAACGCGTTTTCCTAGTGTTCGGCGTTTGATCCAAGTAGGATGATTTTTTATTTTTTATTTAATTTATCTAACTCTTGTAAACAGACTTAAAATGAGCTCATTATGATCTAAAGTCGTTTCTATGTCTAAATGTATGCTCTGTGATGTTATGCGATTTAGTTATTTTAAAAACAAACAAGAAATTAAACCAATTAAATCGTTAAAGAAAAACATTTTTTCAACTTTACTATGTGTTCATGCCTCGATAATTGCCAATCATACTCCTCATATTATTACAAGTGTACAATAAATATAATATGAGCGTTTTTTTTTTTTTTTAATTTATCAAGGAGTCGCTGTTGGTGTTACAGCTGGTCTTTGCTGCCCCCTAGTGGTCAAAACCCAAACTGGTGTAAACTAGAAGCAGCAGCAGTTTTACATTGTTTTAACTAGATATAACGATCTAAAAATTGTATTTATAAATTATATATTTTTACATTATTTAGAAGAGCTCTACATTTATTAATATAAATGCATGCTATGTTTTGTTTTCCAACCATAAATTTCAAGGTGACTTTATAGTCATTTGCATCACATGTGAAATTGTGTAGTGGTGGGATGTAACTAAGTACAAATACTTCGTTACTGTACTTAAGTACATTTTTCATGTATCTGTACTTTACTTAAGTAGAGTTAAATGTGGGAACTTTATACTTTTACTCCACTACATTTTACATCAAGTATCTGTACTTTCTACAACACTACATTTCTATAATGAGTTGCATTACAAGTTACATTCATGTTGTGGCTTTTTGATTTGTTTGTTACTTTGAAAGTAAAGTGGTGAGAGAGGAGCTGGTCCATTGAATCACTGCAAAGTGGTCAGGTAACGTTAGGCCCACCTTCAAGAAGAGCTGGGCCAATGACATATATTCTAGTACTGTATATATGTATATAGATGTATGCATTTATTGTGCCGCTCAAGGTGGCTGCATGTTGGAGCAGCTCTGTTACTTTCATTCTAAGATTTTGCTTTTGGAAACTTTAATTCCTGTTTTTCTGGATGTAAATCATATTTTTTTGGATGATTGTTTCCTCTGGTATCAGATGCTGTGCAGCTGGAAGGATTTTTACTGAAACTTTTTTGGTTTTGGACATTTGTTATGATGCGTAACCATGGCAACAAGGCAGTTTTCTACAACAACAGCTGAATAACATCTCAAAAGCTCAAATAATATCTCAACTATGGCCCCAACTCTCAAATGATTTGAAAAGGATGTTCTGTGGATGCATTCTCATCTACCTGCCAGCTGTGCTCGAGTGCCTGACCACTGAGATCCTGGAACTAGCAGGAAACACAGCTCACGACAGCGGATAGACAGGATCGTCCCTCAGCACCTACAGTTGACTGTCCACAGTTATGAGGAGCTCGGCAGACTGCTGGGAGGAGTGGCCATCGCTCTGGGAGGAGTTCAGTCCAGCATTCAAGCGGTCCTACAGTCCAAGGGAACCGAGAGGCCAGCCGAGTCTGGGTGGACGGATCGGATGGCATTTGCAGCCAGTTTCTTAGGATCCACTGTGGGATGGACCTTTACAAGAGATCCTTCCTGTCTACAGCCATCAGTATCTATAACATCTCTTAATGAAATGAGGATAACGAGTTACAACAACAAAATAATTTCCCTCTGGGATTAATAAAGTATTATTGAATTGAATTGAATTGAATTGAATTGAATTGAATTGAATGTCACTGAGCTGGGCACACCAGCAGCACCACTAACACACCCAAAATGTATTCCACCGCAAGAGAATCAGCCAGAAGATACAGTACACGCCACCCATGGCCTTATTGAAAGACTGCTCAGTACAACAGGACAGATTCTCTCTCCCTAAAGAGCCAGATTGGACTCAAAAATCTTTGAAAACAACTTCTTCTGAACTTGAACAAGAAATTCTTGCTGCAATATTAAAATGTGTCAGTTCATGATGTTAGGAAACAAGACATGTCTTCAAATGTCTCGACACTCGGGTCCAAGTTTTAAAAATGGTTTCAGGAAGTTAAAATATTGTTCAATATTGACCCATTACAAGGTTCAATAGACATATTTTAACTAGAGTTGATGACAAACTGGAGTTGAAATATCAGTGGAAATGATCAGAGCCTATTCCTTTGTTAGTTGTGTCTAATGTTCCTTTTGTTCAGGCAGACAACTTTTACTTAAATGTGTTTACTGCAGTTAAAATAACCCATTGGTTTTGATTTGTGTTAAATAAAACCTTTCAAAGGTTAAATCATTCCTCTTTCTTATTTTGCTTAATGACATTTAACTCTGCAGGTCATCCCTGAAATTCTGACGCACAGAATCACAAGTCCAAGTGTGAACTGTGTCACAGAGTAAACACAATAAAAACATGTATTATCTGCAGCATCGTTCATTAAAATGACTCAACACTATTAATGTATTACAGAAAATATACATACAGTAGGTACACGTAATGATATGTAGACCATTGCATTAGGTAATACATTCAGGAAGTACTTTTACTTTTAATACTTTAAGTATTTTTAAAGCAAGTACTTATTTACTTTTACTTTAGTAAAAATGTCAATATGGTACTTCTACTTTTACTAGAGTACATTTTTGTCTGTTTATCTGTACTT